AGCTAGTTCTCACCAAGTGTATATCAAAAATATACAAATTTAACATCAATATTTTTTTAACTTTACAAAATCACAGTATTAAAAAATCTTCCCAAGTTTGGCTAGTGATGTTAAAAAAAGACATCAGTAAAAGTGAAATACTGTATACATATATATTAGGTCATCAAGAAATTAATGTCACATCTTGGAACACTTTCATTAATCATTAATTAATAGTTAAATGAACTGCCTAAAGTCATGTTTGTGTAGCCTATATAAAGTGTAATATTTAGTATACTATATAATCCCTTATAGTGATGGCACACAACGAGACACACATTCGGCATGTAATGCTGTTTGAATACAAGAAGAAAAACAATGCTCTGTAGCCACAAAGAATACTGAAGAAGTTTACGGAAATGTTTTGAACGTTCGTAAGTGTCAATGATGGTTTAGCAAATTTCATTCAGGTGACTTTAGCCTTAAAAACTGTAATGGCAGGGGCTGACATGTTAGAATTGATACTGATGTTCTGAAGACGCTTGTTGAGTTTAACCCAAGGCAACACACTCGTGAAATGGCCCTGAAATTGCATATCTCTCATGAAAAAATATGTAAAACTCTAAGGAATATGGGAATACTCCTTAAAAAAAGTGTTTGGATGCCTCATGAACTCTCTGATGATCATCATTTCCAACGTGTGAATGTTGCTTCATCTCTTCCGGCACGTAATGTGCATGAACCGTTTTTGGACAGAATTGTCACTGGTGATGAAAAATGGATTCTCTATGTTAATATTAAATGCCAAAAACAATGGCCCAGTCCTAAACAAAAAACCACATCCGAATAGGAATAGGCTATAAGAACACTCAGTGACTAGTGTCAAGAATTCGAACATAAAGTGTTACTATTTGAAAATAATTAACAGGATGCTGAATTTGAACAAGAATGATGAGGGCTGGCTTTGAGTTTTATTATTATTTTTATTTAACAGTTTTAGCTTAGATCAGAGGATGGGAAACTTAGTTGAACCAACAGGTCCCTTGTTGTTGCTAAACATTATGTTATATTTCATGTTATTTTAAGTTTAGACAGAAATACATTTAATTACTTGTGGAGAATAGAAGTAGGAGAGGCAATTATGGATTATGATGCAATATGAAAAAGTGTCAAATATGTTATTAAAATTTTGAAAATGACAGAACATAGATAAAGGAAAGAACGACTAGCTTGGATGAATTTGTAACAGCTCTTGTCGCATAGTTAAAAGCCAGAAAAATTGTGATAGTTACAGGAAATTGTCTGCTTTTTGCATGTTGTTATTCTATGTTCTTTGGTTATTATTTAATGCATTACTGTCATTGGTATAAAAGAGTGGAGTTAACTGTCATCAACAATCAACAGCATGAAAAGAAAATTGAGTAAGTACTTTATTTCTTGTTTTTCATGTTTATTGATAACTTATTATTATAAAAGTAATTAAAATGTAAAAATATGGATCTTTTTAGGTTAGTTTAGATTAAATTAGGTAAAATAGATAATAATAATTATATAATAAAAATGTTTCATGAGGCACGCATGCGAGCAGCTCGTGTGTAATGTAACTCGATAGCATAACATGATCTCCACGTTCCCCATGTGATTTACAACTTACAATGGTGCAAATACTAGTTAGACATGGTTTAAAGGGTAATAAAACAATAAAATTGAATTATAAATAGAGTTTAAAGGTACTTAGGATAAACGAATGTAGCTTCATGTTACAATTTGAAGTCATTCTAGAAAGAAAAAATTTCAATTTTTATTATATTATTATTATTTATTTTACCTACCTTAACTTTAAATAACCTAAAATGATCCTTATTTGTTCATTTTAGTTACTTTGGAAGTAAAAAAGAAGTTTTTTTTTTTTGTTTTGCCATTGATGTAAAAAATATAGATTTCTAGAAGGCTGGCAGACATATAAACATATGAATTGTTTGAGATGAGCGGAAGCAGCAGACAGACAAAAGCAGAAGAGATTAAAGTTACGTACAAGGAAAATTTTAGTGTGAAGTTAACTACCATAGAAGTGATAGGCCTAACGTTTAATATGTTAGAGTAAGACTAACAATAGAAAAGGAGATAAGAATAATAATTTATTCCATCAAAATGTGGTTCTAAAATAATTGAATCAGCCTGAGTGCACTTTGATAAAAGGAACAGAGGATATTTTGAAGAAGGAAGACCAAACAATTACAGTAACTAGCACCACAATTGTAAGTGAATCACACACAGAATACTAGTGCAACAGTAATAGAGAAGAGAGTTCGGCTTGTCAACTGATATTCAACAGAAATTGAATAGGCCTAAGAAGAGAACTATATATGTAGGGTTTATGATATGCCTAAAATTTCTATAGTGTGAAGAATTTGTTGTACATACATTTAACATGTTCCGATTATATATATTATTTTGAAAACAAGTGAAGTTCGTGCTGTTCATTTATTGTTGAATTTATTGCCAATAAGTCACAGACACTTACTGTAGAAGAATCCTAAGCTCAACAACAAACCAGTATGTATTTATACTGTTAAGAAGTATAAGTAAAAGCATTTTTATATTGGCAATTGGCAAAATAATTTATTTTTAAATTCTGACACAAACAAACCTTTGGGTATAATTTCTATAGCCTTCAATTTTGTTTGGTTACAGAGCTATCAAAGAGAAAATCAGACCCCTCTTGCCACACTTACCTGTCACAACCTCCCTTTCAAGATTTGTTAATAGTTCTCTCTTACTCTTAATGCTATATTATCTTTAACCAATAGAAAACCAAGGTTTTCATCTATCAAATGACATATTACATTACATTGTGTTTTGAACAGAGAATTGTCTATTTCTCTTTTATTACAAGCTTCGTTCCTGGGTTTGTCTGAGCAATGATGCTTTTATAGTGAGTAATTTACATTAAAACTTTGTACTTATTGAAGGGTTGGTGAATAAAATAGAAAAGATTGAATGCGTAGAGAAAATGTGTCACACTAGGGGAAATTCAGGATTTTTTTAAATATTGCCTTATACAACTAAGAACTGAAAACTTATATACCATTAATATATGGATTATTGGCTATGATTTTATGCTGTACTAATTGGTATAACATAAAC